AAAAACGCCACCGCCATGAAACTCCTTCAGATGAAGATAGAAATGAATATGGTGAACCAAACCCCTTAAACAAAGTCCTCTGAGCGCTCGTGTCCACGTGTCAGTCTAAAATGAGTGAGATGTGTGAACGAGAAGAACTAGAAACCACGCTGCAGGCAGGCATGTTTCAGCTCTGCAAGTAGTAAAACAGAAAACAGAAAACAAAGCGCAGAGCGCCAAATGTCGTCATGGGACGCCCTGCGACAAGACGCAAGGCAAAGGAGCGAGAGATGACGGAGCCATCGATTAACTGCGATCCTTGCCAGAACACGCCATAAAGAGAGACCACCAGGAGTTGGGACCTCCCGGGACCCCCTTATCGTTGCTCGTAAGCATCAGAGTGATACTCTTCATCTCCGTCGTGATGTAATGTGACGCTGTTGAACTCTTCGAATGGATCAACGGCATTCTCGCCTGGTGTTACCATCCCACTTTCAAGCGGTTCCCCCTTGAGGCCCATCTGCCTGGACCCGCTGAAATCCACGCTCTCACTTTCCTTAACGTTGCGGAAGTTTAGTGTATCAATGCCGCGACCTTGGTTCGGGACAATGGGCGGCTTCATGTGACGAATCAAAGCCCATTGTGTCGTTCTAAAGAAGGGGTGAGTCTTGATATCGGATGCGCCAGCACGCGCACCTAGACGACGGTTCTCGTCCTTAATAAGCAATTTGCGGATGAGTGATTTGCAAAGGCTAAACATCCAAGGTTAGCAAGTAGTCAGGGTAAGAACGCGTCGATGACAAGTGAGGGAGACTTACTTTGATATTTGTGGCGCGCCGGCATGGTCAGGGAAGGGAATATCTTCCCTGAGAATGTTGGCGAAGGTTGCGTTACGGTTCTTACCCTTGAAGGGGGTGGTGCCGTAAAGCATTTCATAGATGAGAATTCCTAGCGTCCACCAGTCGACTGCACTGGTATGCCCACTTCCCTTAATGACTTCGGGGGCGATATACTCTTCCGTACCCACAAAGGAGTTTGTGCGGAAGTTTGCTATGCAGGACTTGGTGTCGATGGTCGGCAACGACGACGTACTCGTGCCATTCTTTCCAACAATCATGGTGGGCTTGCCGCCCGGGTCGGACTGCTTGGACAGATCGAAATCTGAAAGCATGATATGGCCAGATTGATGAAGTAGGATATCTGTGATGATCGACAGTTAGTTTTGCGAAATGATCGACATGATGAAAGGTGGGACAGGTGGAAACGTACTCTCTGGCTTGAGATCCCGGTAAATGAATCCCATGAGATGCAGGTATTCAAGCGCGGCAGTAACCTCTGCGGCGTAGAAGCGAGCATCGTCCTCGGGAATGCACTTGCCGGGACGTGTCTGGAGAGCCCTGAAGAACTCGCCACCGCTGCAGTATTCCATGCAGAGGTAAAGATAGTCCTCGGACTGGAAGGAGTGATATAGCGTCACGATGAAGGGATGGTTGCTTGTAGCGAGAATTTCCTGCTCGGCCAAGGCTCTCTTAATCTTGTTACGCTTGATCATTTCCTTCTTGCTCAGGACTGTTTTGGTTTGTCAGTAGGGGGTTAGACATTGTACCGGATGGACGCGAAGACGTACCCTTCATAGCATATAACCTCCCGCTCTTCTTCTCCTTGACTAGATATACCTTGCCTACATCGCCCTTGCCGATCAACTTGATCTTGTCGAAACTCTGGGGGCCGACCTCAACATTGCGGACCTTGATGGAGTTGGAGCTGTATGTTCGGCGGAAGGCGAGCGGCGACTGGCGGATGGGGGGAGGCAGCGCTCCGAGACCATCGGCATCGGCCGCAGCCAGACTTGTGGAGGAATCGTTGTTGGGCTTTTGCTCTGCAAAACCGACTGTGTTGGAATCCTTGCTCTCCTCTAGCGGCTCCTTGCTGAGCTCGGCCGTGGCAGGGCGCTCGCCGTTGCCCTGACCCTTTGAAAACAGGCCCTGTGCGTTGGGGGCACTGGCGACTCTCCTCAGTTTCCTCGCAAGCTCTTCTTTTGTGGCAGCGGTGGGCTGCTGCGAGCCTTCGGGGCCGTCGACCTTGAGCGAGGGAGTGTCGGGCGGGCTGGGCGGAACCGAGCCGTCACCGTGATGGCGCAGGCCCGGTTGGCCCTGGTGGGCAAAGTAAGGGTTCGCGTGTGCGGTCGGACTCATGGATTCGTCGAGCGGATTGCCCTCGCTCACGACGGTGGTGCTGCGAAGGCGGCCGACGCTGAAGAAACGGGACTGACGGAAGCCAGAGGGCGTCTTGGAGTCGGCGCGTGGTGCTCCGCCGTGGGAGCTGGAGGTGGTGTTGGCATCGCGGTCCTTGTGGTCTTTGGAGCCGGAATTGATGCGGAAAAATTGCTTGAGGCGCGAGGGGAAATGGCCTTCGCCGTTGGCGTTCTTTTGTGACGGCATCCTTGTGATGTAATGCTCATGAAGACGAGTCCATGATGCGACTTGGATGGGAGGAAGGGGGAAAGACGGGGGGTGCCAAGGTGCACTGGACTGCGAGTGCGCGAGGTGCCAATGCAGTGGAGGGTGCTGGGTGCAGCGGGTTGTCTGGCAGTTCCGGTCTGATGGCGGAGTGGATAACAGATGACAGGACCGAGCCAGTTACGCTGTGCCCACTTCTTTACGAATGCTGGCGGCCACCTTCCACTTCCAGCACGCCGTCCAATGGGCTGCAGATGTCGCTGCCGGGCACTCTGCGACGGGCTGGACTGCCTGGAGGCGAAAGGAAGCTGTTTCGCTTCGGTTTTCTCCCGTTATGCAATGGGCGGGCTGCTAAACACACAGTGAGACGAGCATTATCCCTTATCATCCGCCTACCCGGCAAGCACTCTATTGTGGTGATATTCTGTTAGTGCAACAGCCCAGGTCGTTATCGACCCCTGGGGTGTGCTAGATCGGAAGGTCGAAACATGGTGTCCAAAGACTCCAAGGAGACTGCCTGTTTCCAAGGTCTTCAGGTTGGTGGAGTGTCACGGGACCTTCCGGCGCACGCCGACTGGAGCGATGAGAAGTGAGAACGAGTGGAACTGCGCCTTCTTTTTAAGTCCCGTCCGCAAAGTGTTCTCGTCCAGTCATTTCGGCATGGCACGCCATCTGTCAATCCATCATCCATTGAAAACTGTATTTATCAGCAAGGTAAAACCCCCAACCCGTCTGGTCCGTGATGAGGCTCATGGCGCTTGAGACTCACTTGTCAAAATTGCAGCAGCGAAGACGTGTAAGCGTCTCGCAACAGCGTACCGAGCATGTTGTCTCAGAACCAGCCGTCTCTACCGTCCAACAACACGCAGCCGCAAAGCTCAATTGGACCACTGGTTTCTGTTGGATCGCAATCCTTCAGGTCCCCCGCCACCAGACCTCGCAGAGCTTGGCAACGTCTTGATGGATCCAGACTGTTGAGTGCTGTCGAGGACCTGCAGGTGGATGATCGTCCTGCCCTTCTCACGATTCTCTTACAGTCACGCTCCTATAAAAGCATTCGTCTTGAAGGGTTTTGTAAGCAGATACTTTCCGTCGGCAATCGTTCGGAGCATGGCCTGTTACAGCAATTCCCGTCCACAATCTGTACCCTTTTGGCCATGTCTTTTCTCATCACATATTGTTCAACACAGGCAACGAAGCAGCCAAGCAACCAACCTCAAGTTCCACGTTGACAGATCCCCGTCAAGCTGGGGAAATCAAGTCCACCCCGGAAAGAAAGTGTTGATACTCACATTGCACTTTGCAGTAGACATTCATTTCCATGCTCCGTTTGCTTCAAGACTCAGATATCTCTTTAAGCGTGTTTTGCGCCATTCTTTTCCCGACAGGGGTCTGTAGCCAATGACGTTTCTCAAACACCAAAATGCAACCCTTTGGCTACTTCAGGCTACTTTCTAAGTATCTTAGCAGGACTCTATAAGTCCTCTGACAGAGTCACCAGCTGTTTAGGAGCTGGGTACTCTGAAGTTTTTATGGGCCGGGAAAAAAATGGCGCAAAACACGCTTAAAGAGATTCATCCGTCTATAGAGTGAAATGCTTTCTTCGGCCCTATTCCGCCACAAACACATCTAGCAATAGCTTACACTTTGCCTCCAATGCTGCTGTACCACCATGAATCTTACACCACACGCTGCCAACCAAATACCTGCCTAATTCGGTTGTCAAGTTGCCTCAGCCTGCTGTCACCTACCGTTCACCCACTGACTTTGACAGTCTCCAGCCTTTTCGCTCTGCAACCAAGAATGTAGTGAGGCACCCAAAAAGCCCCCTTTTGGAGCGTGCTGAATTGCAAAAACAAATACCCAACACTACGTACGCGTCTTGATGATTTTCTCTTTCTGGTGCTTTCCTCGATGAGAAAAAAAAATGCAAAAAGTTGGAGCGTTGCGAAATCCTGAATGTTGAAGGTACTTCGGACTGGCCACATGCTGGGCAATTTTGCAGCGAAGATAAAATTCGGAGTTGCCTTTATAGGCTTGGTGTCTAGGTCAAGTGGGTACCAATGTTCTGTTATGGTCTAGTGGCTCAGTCGCTCCCACGTTGGCCCCAAGAATCAAAAAGGTCACCCGTTCGATTCCTGCTCGAGGCCATCTTTTCGAGCTATGAGAGAGCTGTCCGGGCAAGTCCTGGGCACTCTCCCATGGTGAGTTCACCATAGCGTAGGTCCCTATCCATAGCGAATATATTTATCCTCAGCGAACCTTAGCGAATATACTAACCCACAGCGAGCATATCTATCCCAAGCGGGCATCTGGGTTTTCATCAAGCGGTTTCCCAGCGTAGTAAGTAATTTTTTTTTTTTTTATTATGTTATTACAACCAGCGTTACTTTTCACACAGCGTCCGTACATGCTTTATACACAAAGCATTATAATGATGCTTTTTTTCTAGTTGTCTGAGGTGTTTCAATGTCCTTAATGACCTATCGTGAAGCATCAAGGTGAAAACGGTGCTAAGAAACTCACAAAGCTGTAGCATGTGTGATACGGACGTTTCAAGCCTTTTACTTGAATATCGCTTGTTATATAAAGAAGGTGAGTAGGTATAAGTATACAACCAATACGCCTCTGTGCCTTTTCCACCACTTTCCACCCCAACAACACAAACGCAACCAGAACCACGTCCACCCCCCCTCCTCCATCCCTCATCCCTCATCCCTTTCGTCCTCCCGCTCAAAGCTCAATCCTGATACAACCCCCTCCATGTCGGATCCCACCCACAACTCAACATCTTCCTCTTAACCTCCTTGCCGGGGTTTCCAGAAGGATTCTCCGGGTCCGCATCCGGGTCCGCAGGCACCGTCACCTCCACCACGGGTCCCATCACCTTATCGTAATACTCCCAAAACTCGTCCTGCTTCTTCTTCTTGGCCGCCAAGCTCGCCTCCATCGCGTCCCGCTCGGCCTGCGTGTAAACCGGCTCCGGCGCGGCGTTTTCGTCCCTGAGAAAATGTACCCGCTCCAGGCGCGCGCGTCGACGGCGTTTGTCGTCGTCGTTTTCGTAGAGCTGGTCCCGGACGGAGGGGGTTACTTGGTTGCCGGAGGCGTCGAAGAGGTAGGGCGGTAGGGGTTGGAGTTTGACGATGACGGGTGTCTTGGTGGTGGTGGTGTCGGCGTGGTGAGAGGTGATGGATGACGATGATGGTGGTGGTGGGAGGGCTGATGTTATGGTTAGGGGCTTCTCGGAGAGGGGAGACTCTATGCTGGTGTTGCGGGGGCCGTCGCCGACGTGCCAGAGGAAGGGTATCAGGTGACATTCGTCGACGTGGGCTTCGAAGTGGGTTTTGGTTGGTAGGGCGAGTGGTGGAAGCTTGGATTGGAGACGCTTGCTCTGGCAGGAAGCCCATTTGCAAGTCTTGGGCTCTTGTTGCTCTTTTGCTAAACCTGGATGATGTTGACGAGGTTGTTTGTAATCTCCGTGTACGATCAAAACGTGTTTCCGTAGAGTTTCAAAGTTGTGCAGCTCAGCCGGGCATCCCTCCCATTCACACAGGAAGCGGATGTACCTCGGTGTCAGCTTGGAGAAGATTTCTCTGGGCAACTCATGGGGCTTCTTGGGTGGACGACCTCTGCGCTTGACCTCGCCTGGCGCTTTGGGTGGTTTCGGAACTTTGGGTCTAGGGGGAGGCACGGGATTTCCTCGCATGGCGGCATAGGACAAGCCAGGCCTCCATCCAACCGGCCGTCCTCGTTTCTTTGGTGGATTGACCAGGGGTGCTGGTGCTGGGATATCTGGTACTGGAAACGGTGGTGGTTGCACCTTCGGCGGCACATAGTTGGCTGCAGCAGCAGCGGGGGAAGGTTTCGTTGATGACCGCTCTGTGATTTTCCGCCTCTTCGGAGTGGGAGGCATAAGGTCCGATGTCACAATATTGCCAACCAGTGTATCTTCCTCCTCCTCGTCTGATGCAACATCTGGGACGCTGATGTAGGCTTCCTTCTTTACAGTTGCCGGGAGCACAACGGCGACCCGGACCGACCTTGGTGTTCCATCGCGGACAGATGCCGATGTTGGCGTTGCATGCCGCTCAGATCTTGAAGGCTTCAAAGGCGAGAGCGTCGCTCGCCTCGGGTGCTGGGGAACATCGGCGGGCGCTTGTAGTGGTGGTTCATCCTCCACGCCTTCTGCGTCGTAGAACTCATCCACATCCTCGTCATAATCCCCTTGATGGTTCGGATCTAGATCCGGATCATAGTCATCGCCCAGCTCATCATAATCGTCCTTAGGATCATAATTGAAGTTGTCGATAGGGTCTTCATCCGGGTAGAGATCCGGGTCGTAAGGCATCCTTTCCGCCTTGCCCTAGGTCAAGTTCGTGGTGAAACAAGTTCAAGTTTAGAGTGAAATGGGAATAAAAATCGTCGCCATCCAGCAAGGTGAGCCTGGGGCCTGGTTAGTCGCATCCTCTGCCACAAGTGAGGATATCTCACACACCTTTTTGACCGCTAAAATTAATGATATGAAGTGATATGTTACTTGAAGATCCGCTGTCTGGGAATTGAAAGAGCACCCAGCGGATATTAAGTATCGTTGATTGACAGACGGCTGGTTTGGCAAACTAATGCCGGCTTCCTAGAGTTTATAGGAGAGGGTGTGGGTTGATGAGGGACTGACGCGACTGGACGTGATGTTGGTAATGAAACTACTACTTCTAATCGCACGGCTCAGACAGTGGTCTGTGCGTAGTAGCAATTACCGAGGACTCGTAACTTCCTCGACTGTGAAATATAGATTCATGAGGAAACAGCTTCTTGCAGATGCTTTCGCTAGAATGAATATCATAGAAGTCTTATTCATGCACTAATAAAGATTGGATTTCAGGAGTTTTCAGAAACTACCAGTTTCGGCGACGATGAATGATTTACGGTTGCTACTTGAACAGTATAAGAAGTTGTCAAAGGTTCGCCCATCATTGGTTGAGAGGCTACTAGTGGTCAACAAAACAAAGGTATTGTTGAACCGTCCCTGTATCTACTTAAATGGCAACCCATGCGAGATATGTATAGTTAAATACCCCAAGCATCATATAGCATAGTGATGTCGTCTAAGAGGCAAGTCATCGACAACAAGTTCCTGCTCTATGCTCGGACATTGAAGACAATGTCCACGTTTGGATGTGTCTAGTGTTAATTCTGTCTTCCCCCGTCATCGCTGTAGGCATCGTGGTAAGTGTTGTTACGAACGGCCACACCGTATTCCTGCAACTTGGTTGCTAGCCATGCGTGTATCTCCAACTTGGCCCACAAGGCCAGTGTCTCGATGTCCTCATTTATGTGCTGCAATCCCTTTACACTGAACCAGATCCGAATGGGAAGGCCGTTAACCGCGAGCCACCAACAAACAAGTTGGGCCACGGGGAGTGCAGGTGGGAGGGACGACTTGATGAACCGAAGTTGAGAACAACTGACATGTCTTGATGTACCCATTTCCTCATAGTCTCCTGTGTCCGTCTCTGTTCATAAAAGGAGCGGCGGTGGCGAAGGCGACTAAGCACGCGAGACACGCAAGAATTAGGGAACGAAATGCTGGACCCGGGCATGCCTATGATTATGTGTGTGAGCTAGACTAGTTCATGACCAGAGCTTCCAAACCAAAACCTGACGACATTCTTGTCACTGCTCCTTTGTGGAGGTGCGAACAAACTCGGCTTCACTCCTCGAAGCTTCGTGTATATATCGTGATATAGATGTCGGATAACTTCTGAGTGAGCTGCCTCGAGCAACTCGAACAGCTTCTTCGTCAACTTGGCGCCAGATCCCTGCCGCAAGTAAGTGCCGAACTCTCGGACGGGCTCAAACTTTTTCAAGCGGCGGCGCTGGTATTTTCTCCTCCTGTGCTGATACGCTCTCATGTACCAAGCGCTGGCTCGCTGAGTTCTGTGACGTCCTTCGCTTCGCCGAGTGTGATAGGAACGCCGTGGAGAGCTGACAAGCGTTCCTCCTCCTTCTTGATTTGGAGGGCCTCGGTCTCCTTCCGCAGCTTCTCCAAGTTCCAGGCGTCGTCGTCCCCCTCGTCATCGGAGTCGATATCGGCCTCCATTCTCCAGTTGCCACTTTCGAACAGGGCACGACCAGTCGCTTCCTTGGCCTTCCTTGCGGCCTCCTCGGCGGCCTTCTTGTCGAGACGCTCCTTCTTCCACTTGGCGAAGCTCTCGGGTGTTACGGGGGTCAGGGTGCCGGTAAGCTTGTGCCTCTCGGACTCGAGGAACTCCTCGAGCGTAAGGGTCCTGAGAGGCGACTTGTCCAACAGAGCCTTCTCGGCCGCCCTTTGCTCCTTGGTCTTGAGAACGAACCTACAAAGATGGTGTTAGTTGCGCGTAAAACCCGAAGTGCAGAACCTTAACTTACCCAGGCGGAAGAGCATGCTTATACATGCACTTGTCTCCTCCATTCGGGCAAATCCAGAACCAACCGTACTTGCCCTCCTCAATCGCTTCAATAAAGAACTTGCACACCTTGTCTGTGGTGGTGCGCTGGTTGCCCTTCTTTGACAGAACGACGGAACGCAGCTTTTCTTCGTCCCAGTCTGCCGAAGTCTCCTGCTTCTTCTTGTCGTCTTCCTCTGCTCGTGTATCCTGGTACAGATTCCTCTTCTCGACCTTGCGCTCCTGCTCCAGGTCGTGGGAGAACTTGCACTTCTTGCCTTTTTCGCAGTTGCCCTTCTTGAAGAAAATGCAGACGACGGTCTTGGGGTCGACACCAAAGGGAACCTTTTGGATCTGGGCGGGCTTGTTGAGAAGCAGATCGGCCTCCCTCTTGGCATCCTCAGCGGCCTTCTTCTCGCGCTCACGCGCCGCCTTCTCGGCCTCCTTGCGCTTCTGCTCAGCGCTTCCGCCGTTCTTCATCGAGGCCTGCAGGGCGGCAATCTGCTTCTGGGCGGCGGAACCCTTCTTGTTCTTCATGCCGAAGGTCTTGTCTTCGACAGCCTTGGCAGGCTTCTTGCCGGCGGCCTTGGGATCCTGCTTCTTGGGAGGCATGGTGGGCAAATATCGCGATCGGGAACCGGAGAGTCGAGTTTGTGTGTGTCGTGATGCGCAAATTAATGGATCACGGATGTGTATCGAGTCGCTGTCGCAGCGTGGGTGGTGGCAGACGCGTAGGGCGTGATTAGAGCGTGTTGTCGCAGCGACCTTCAAAAGATTTGCAGACGAAGGCGGGGATCTCGATCAACTCTTTGAAGAGTTGGAGGCAACTCGAGTGGGTGGGTTGAAACAACTCTAACCAAATGGGCCCCACTGGACGCCGCCCGGGGTTTAAAGCGCTGGGGAATCCGCCCACAGAAGCCCTGACGTTGGCCCGGGCAGCGCAGCCGGTCATGCAAGGATGAGGTCCTTCAGCTTGGGTCTGTCCACGTGACTTGATCGGGTCCTCCTGTAAATGACGGATGGAGATGTACCGATACATCTGGCGTTGCGTCGCGGCCCTCAAGGTGGAAAGCTGTCCATAACAACCGACATCATCACCTTCCAAGTCGCAGTCCGCCCGGTACAGCACAGGTAGTGCAATTGGCATCAGCAAGAAAAAGTCAGCATGGCATTTTATTTTCTCTGTCCGGCCACCTAACAATCAGCATATTGACAGCTTCTTAAGCAGCAGAACAGCGTCCTCAAGACCCACTTGCACTCCCCTCCAAGCGCTGCGAATCGCAACAAGTCTACAGCCACCTGTACAGCACCGAACGAACACCCGATACCGACTTTCTCTGCGCCAACGACACAATGATTTCCGACGCCGAACTTTACCGTCTCGCCATCGTCCTCGGATGCTCGGCCATGGTTCTTATTGTTCTTCACCACTTCCTCGAAACCAACGCCGAAGATCTCGAAACCGATGTTGTCAAGGAGAAGAAGGCAGCGAAGGTGGCAGCAGCCCCGGCCAAGGCGAAATAGGACACAGCATCCGCAAAACTGTACGATGCGAAAAGGGAGGCTAGATTTCACAAACGCGCACGATACCGCTTATGCGACACTTGGTTGGGGCGAGGCCAAAAAGGACGGGAGACAGACAGCCTACAACACTCCCTCCTACTGAGGGGAGAGCAGGACAGAGCAGGCCCGGGGCGCAACCGATATGCAAGGGAAGGGAACCCCGGAACACACAAAAGGAATACAGGGACAAAGCAGGAAAGCTACGAGGTCTCGGGCCCGGGAGGATTGAATGGGCCAAAGTTGGTTGATACCCCATGGTTGGTCCAGTGCGCAGGAGCAGACCATAGCACTGCATTTCAGTTCTTGTTCGGATCATGGTGTATCATGTCACCAGTCAGCAGAAACCGCCACACGCTCGGGGTAGCATGACTGGCTACCTTAATAATTTGGTATGTTATTTCGTTATGCGCAAAGGGATCGTCCTTTGTTTCCGCTTGTGAAAGAGCTCAATTGCAAACGTCCCTGAAGCAAGAGCTTGTGGTGTGGTGGAATATGAACCATGGAAACACCGACACAAAGCTCCCGTCCCATTTGAGCCGCACTGGAATGAACGGGTCCTGAAAGTGGTGACACGTCTCTGAAGTCTGGCGTCCATTGCAGGTAGAGGTACCGGTACCATAGGTAACAGCCCAGCTGCGTCAGGAGTGGCAGAACAGCGGGTCTAGCCCCCCGCGCCAAACAGATTAGCGTGCTGATGAGTGCTAGGTATCGGCCACAACGCGATTGCCACAAGGCTGTGATTGGCCCTGACTGTTCTTTCCCCTTCTGAGCGAAGCCAAAGCGGTGGGGTGGCCAGTGCAAGGATCACGTTGGGAGTGTTCTGGTACGGTACAGGCGCGTTGTGGCCGTGTTGGGCGGGAGCCTGCTCAGCCTGCCAAGCCTTGACGAAAGCGCAGGCCGTGGCCCCGTCCCCGTCGGTCTCCCTCAAATTCTGGGGCGGACACCGGTTTCTGCTCCCTCCTCTCCCCCTCGTTCACCTCTTTTATCCATTCACCACTTTATCACCCAAACAACACCACCTATTTCCCATCACAACCCACCATCACCGCCAAAGTCTGTCGCCGATAAATCCCATCCGCTCAGACCCATATTCATTTCATTGCTCGCAGGACTGCATCCAACTTCGCCAGCCTGACCACACGTCCATCTCCACTTGCCATTCGAGTCGATCATCAGATCAGAGTCGCTGCACCATCTCCGTTGCAGCGCGACCCTTTACTCCGTCTCGACTTCACGCGACCTTGCGCTACCAGCAAGTCGTAACCTGACCTCCCTACCGTTCATCTGCCCAACGCGACCTTCGCCAGCTCTACTGCGCATTTGAGTCGCCTCGCGCTTCCTAATTTCTGAAGCCACCTTGACCACGCGTCTCGTCTTTCTCACCACTTTTAATTCACTTTAAAGCAACCCCGCCGCCACAATGTCCGGAAAGCTCGACCAGTCTCTCGACGAGATCCTCTCCACCCAGCGCCGCGGCAAGTCTACCGCCCGCGGCCGTGGAGGCCGCCGCTCGGCCGGCGGTAAGCCCGCCAATGCTGCCCCCGCTGGCGGTGTCCAAAAGAACACAAAGCCCGCTCGCAACGCTGCCAAGCCGGCGCCCGCCAAGAGTGCTGGTTTGACCGGCGAGAGCAAGATTATTGTCATCAACCTGGTGAGTCGCGTCCTCCAGCTCCCCCCCTGTGTAGCATCCTTGACCGCTAACTTCCGTCGTAGCCCAAGGACGTTTCCGAAGGCCAGATCAAGGTATGTTATTACCGATGAGGCCATTTAGCCTTCGGACTTTTATCGACATTCCTCTTCCGTGGCGTATCCAATCGGCGTCGTTTTCTCCACTGGGCGGTCGGGACGGTCGTTTATTGCAACTCGGCACTAGGCCATCAAGACTGCCGTTGATTGCTCCTCCCTGACGTGTGTAAATACATGCCGTCATGTTGTGAGTTGAGCAGATCCCCATCGCGCTCTTCCTCCTTATCATTATGGTGGCTGGCAAGCGCCTCTGGTTCGGAAATGAGCAAGCTGTGCAGGGTCCGGCAGACAAATATTGTATGCGAGCCTAGCTGGTGGTCATGGGTTATCTCTTCTTGGCTGGTCACCTCAAAGACGATTTCTGCACCCCAGCGCGCCACGCAGTGAGCAATGTTTGAGGCTCTGCTTCTCACGTCCTGGCTGGACGATTTCTGTGGGTTTTCGGTCCGTCAGGGGATTTGCAACCCCGGGGAACTGGGGCTTAGCACCGTGGTTGTTGGGAAATTCTACGAGAGGACGGCATCACATCAACTGGAACACGCTTGGATTGTCTGGCATAACTGGATCCCTTCACACGTTCCATCGCTTTACGGGTTGTGAGCCCGGACGCATCGGATCGTATGGATGGCTCCAGTGAATGTTAGATATTAGGCTCACCTGCCAGTTGCTGGTGCTGCTGACCCGGAGATTACGCACGATGCTCTGGCTATCCTGGTTTCGGGCCGGCTCGAGATCATGCCCTAGCTTTGACCGATTTGAAACCGAACCGTTACGGACACGACCACACTGAAACTCGCGCACGACGCTAACCACGAATTACCCTTGTGATAGGAATACTTCCAGCAAGCTATTGGACAGGTCAAGAGGGTGGAACTTTCGTATGGGCCCGGAGGCGCTAGCCGCGGTATTGCTCATATCACCTTCCACCACGCCGATGGTGCTACCAAGGCGTACAACGCTCTTAACGGTCTCCTGATCGACAACCGCCCGGTCAAGGTACGCTCGTTTTCCATCCCATAGACTTTCAATTTCCGGGTTTTCTAACGTTCCCACAGGTCGAGGTCGTCGTTTCCAATGCTGAGTTGATCCCTCAGCCCAAGAGCTTGACTCAGCGTATCACGCAGCCCAAGGCCCAGCCCAAGTCTGCCGCCACTGTCAAGCATGCTGCCAACGCCCCCAAGGGTGCTGCTGCTGCCAAGCCTGGCAACAAGAAGGGCCCCCGTCGCCCTCGTAACGCGCGCCCTGCCAAGAAGACTGTCGAGGAGTTGGATTCCGAGATGGCTGACTACTTCGAGGGTGGCAACACTGATAACGCCAACGGAGCCGCGCCGGCCGCTGCTACCGGTGGCGATGCTCCCATGGAGGATGAGATTCTCTGAACGAAGGGTGTGCATGAGGACCAGCAACAGTCGATGAGAGCGAATACCAGCTTCAGGGACGATTTCGTTTGACGGATTTCGGATAGTCTTATGATTGTTTTACTGTTTTTTCGGGTACGGGCAGGGTTTTCAGCTTAGGTCAACAGCTTGGTGCAATTTCTTCCCAGACTCACGACGACCTTCAATTACCGCCTCTCCACTACTCTTACGGGAACGTTGTATGATCTGCGACCCGTTCGCCGCGACCTACCACCTCGCACATGTCGTTTACGGTCCCTTTGATGGGAGATGGATAACGGCAGGACGCGTCTGCGAAAGGGCAAAAGGCCACTATTTGGTGCTGCCATCACCCATTGGTCACCTTTTAAGCGTTCCGTATTCCTCGCTCGGTAGCCCAAGGCGATAGATGTCTCTTCACACAAGTAGCTCGCCTTTGCTACTGAGCTGTTGGGGCGTAAATGGCATATATGCCAGCGAAGCGGAAGCAATATCACAGTGGCGTGTTGTACATCGCAAGTCACATGATTCTAGCGTGCGAAGAGCATTGCCTTTGTGTATTTTAGCAGCAGAGAGCTATCTGCGGAGGGTAAATTGGGCATCAAAAGATAGGAGAAAGCTCAAACAGCTGGAGCAGCCTGGATCGAGGATCCTCGAGCGCTTCCGGGCAGGAAAAGGAGGAAGTTAATGTCATCATGCCCCAAATTCTCTCCCACCAACATAAACAATGCTCCACGTGCCTGTCGTGAATCATATGCCCCTTCCCGCCGTCTCCTCAAGATTCAGTAAGCGGTTGTTCCTCCTCATTCACACTCGCGAGCTCAACAGCAGCAGAACCACAACCACATTTCTGCTTCTTCTCCTTTCCCTTTCCCTTGTCCTTGTCCTTCTTCTTCTTCTCCATCCTCCTCTGCTTCCTCTCGCAGTTCTTGCATACCACGGCTTCCGTAACGGTTTTGGTCTCGATGCCTCCCGCGCAGTGGCCCAGGTGCTCTCCTCTGTATTTTGGCTTGCACGGACTTTCTGTCGATCGGCCTTGCACGAGCTCGTCGCAGGAGGTGCAGTAGGAGTCGATGAAGTGTTTGGTACACATCTTGATTTGTTTGTGGGTGGGTGGGTGTAGTGGTAGTGGTGGTGGTAGTGTGGTGGAGAGGAGTTGGGGGTCTCAGGGTGGTGGTGGGAGGAAGTGCGCGCTTAATTTGTTTTACTTGGGTCTGTTTTCGTATGAAGACCGGGTTGCCCTATGAATGAGCGCGAGGCTGGAATTAAGTACTTGTAGATGGATACAGTAAAGGTTGGGCGGGTGTTGATCCTATTGTGTCTCTACGACAATAGCCGGTTCATCTTGGTCGTACTGTCAGCGGGTGCGTAACTCGCAATTCCGTTCGTGAATAAGTTTAGGGTATAGAGCACAATAACCTGACTTACGCCTGAATCACTCTCGCTTCCGGTCATCTTCATCTCAAGGCTGCAAAGTGGTAGAGTCTATGGGGGTCAAACGGGCTGGTACAGTCACTCGTCATTTGAGGGTTCTTAGGGAATGTCGATGATAAATGTGCTTGGAGGTCTACGACAGGTGTTGAGGAAGTCCCTCGATGGTTTGTCGTTCATGGCCATCGATCGTTAAGTTGGGGGAATATAATACACTGTGGAGGTGAAGTGCATTGACTTTCCGTACTACACTCATCTTCTCTTCCTTTCTTTCGCTATAGTAATACTCCGGTTACCCGTCTGGCCTACCTGTATCAATGGCCTTCAGAACCACTTCAACTCCATTAGCTCAGGGCAAGCTTGAGAGGCTCTTAGTACTATGAGATGGAATAACCACCTGTTTGGCGGGTCGCGCTTACTCGGCTCAATTGCATACAACTGACTATGTATGACGGTCCGTTGAGCCATTCTCGAAAGCACCCTTGGCGAAACAGACGTGGTAATGACTACTGGTAACCTTTCTAGCAGGCACTGTCAAGTATCCGAATCATTCGCCATGCCCAAGTAATCCTCTTTATATATCTACCATGTAACCGTGTAATTCCCTTTCCCGTTTCCGTTCCCATGTCCCTTTTCGTTGCCATGAACACCGTCTTCCAAAACAATGACCAAGCTCCCTTTTCCCAGCCATTTCCCCAACCTGAACCGTACACCTCCCTCCCCTTTAACCTTTTACCCCTTCCAAAGCAAATCAAATCTTAGGAGCAACCCACACCTCATCCGCCGGCCAAGCCAAAATCGACGCTCCCATCTGGGCATCCCTCGCCGCCTCGCTAGCTGTATAGGGGCCTGATGCTGATGAAGGCGACGGTGCGGAGGAGGAAGAACGGCTGCTGGCCGCGCTGGAGGTGGTATTGATGGTGATGGTGGGGCCTATACCTGCGAAGCTGGAGGCGGCGCTGGAGTATGGCGATGGCGTCGAAGAATGGTGTGAGTGTGAGTAGTGGGAGAAATGTGAACCGCTTCTGCTGGTGGTGGTGGTGCTGAAGTTGGAGGAGGATGAGCTGCGTCGGGAGGAGGAGGTGGAGGCCATTTTGGGATTGGGTGGATGTTGTTGGTGTGGTTGTATGGATTGTTCGAGCCGCTTTAGGATGTTGGGCTTGGAGTGTTGTTGGTTTTGTCTTGGAGATGACAGGACTGAGGATCGAGTGACTTGTTGTTGACACTTGGAGTTGAAGGTTGTAACTTGTTGATGGGTGTGGCTTCACTTCTTAAACCAGCGCCTAGGTCTGTGAACTGGTGTAAGTGACTTGGCGATGATTGGACAGTGTGTGACTTATGATTATTGTGAGAATGACAAGAACGGGAAGAACAAAGAAACTACAGCAACAGGGGATAGGAAATATATAGAAAGTCGTATACGAGGTTGTCAGGAGTAAGTGAGACACCTGACACCAATATTGGCAGATAGGATCTCAACAAAGGCAAGTGGAAAATGTGGTGACTCTCGTTCGTGCGTTCTAAGTGTCCAATGACAAGAGTCTCTTCTGAACAGCAACACTAAGCTCTTTGAGCACTTCACAACGCTTCACGGGAATGTTTGAAAAGAGTGAAACCAGAAATTTGATAACTTATAGAAGATGCTCGACTGACCTTGTGTTCGTTCTCGGTGATGCAGTCCCGTTCCTCAGATTATCACCTCTTCTTTCCGTTTGTTGACTTAGGTTCGGATTAAGAACTTGTTGCAACTTATGCTCCTTTATCTCAAGAACAGTCAGTTATTTTTAGGTGCTGTGCTTCCCAAATTGCCGAGGATTGGGTGTATGTTGAAGATCCCAGTAAGAATGAACTGACGTTGAGGAAAACGACTAGTTTCCCAGGTAGTTTGTTGCTTCTCTTATACGAGGAGGCCTCTATACACGTATGCCTTGTACGTGCCGCAAAGCTGCTGGATCTCAAGCACAAGTGCCGCAGGTTTGTCCGAGACAAACTGGAATACAAAAGGAATAGGCGCGAGTTTAGTAAGAAGCGAGATGCGAAACCAGCAGCAAGCACAGTAGCAACACGAAAGTAAACACTACCACCACCCACCGCCTCCACCCTACAGTGGCGGTTTTCGTCTGAGTATCTGGAACAGATGGCTTTCTGTGGGTCTGGATCATGATGTTTGATGTTCCTCAGCGACTTTCCTTATGATCAATCCCATCCCGATCCCAACTCATACTAGATGGTCATCTCAGCTTGGCATCACAGACGCTAGAGCTTGGCATCACAGACGCTAGATCTAGGAGCGTTGAGGAGTGTGGAGATAAGGTGACGAAAGATGAAGAGACTCAGAAAGTCACTTCAAAAGGGGCTAGATCAGTGTAACAATTGAGGATCCTGGCGGCAAAGTGTTAGAACGACTTCCAAGACGAGGGAACAGCAGCTGTGTTGGCCGCCGGAGCATCAACACTGGACATCGAGCGGCACGACACCGGGGCGCCATGGTAGCAATGTCGACGTACCTCATCGCCGGTAAAGAAGCAACATCAGCGATGGGAGGAGGCAGAGGAGGCAGATGAAACCTCCCATTTGAGAGACACTCGCCGTAGGACTGATCCAAAGAACCCGAATCTGACTGGAGGTCATGCCCTCGACCGGGGAATAAGCCACTGATCTTGTTGAGAGCAAGACATCGCAATATCGGTATGCGATACTCCCGTCGTGCTGCTTCTGAAATGCGAACGACGATAGGGTACCAATGCGATGGGTCCGCAGCCTCACTTGAACGCACTGCATCCCGTTTCCGGTAATGGTGAAGGAGTAAGAACGAACCGATGGCGATGGGTGGACATTCGACTTGAAAGAGAGCCAACCAAGTAGTATGTACCTCCTTAGCTTCCATCGATTTCCCAAGACCTGCTTCGCAGAAGCGCCGCAAAAACGGAAAGGATGATGCGAGAAGGGACACACCGAGCTGAGACCGACGATAATAACCAGACTTTCGGCGACAAGGGGTAGACGCAAGTCTCTGTCCATGGGGAAGATACAAGCCCGCAATTGTCACGCACATATTGCAAATTCGGGATCGAAGGTTGCCTAGAAAAGAATGAGCATGATTCCATTCGCTGTAAGATCCTGCTAGATACCGAAATCAAAGTACTCCATAAAACCCGTTCCAGTTAATCATCCGGCGTTAAGATTCCGCCCCTGAAGCATCGGGGAATGAGAGGGTATGTGTAAGTAAATCCTGTCGTTATTCCCAATGCCCAGATCTAAACATTAAAGCCCACCCCGGGGCTTGGGTATGCCTATTGCTTTTTGAGTATTTACGCAGCCTCCTTTGACGTGTCGACAGTCTCCTTGACCTCCTCGACCTTACCAGCCTCACCCTCGCCCTCGAGAGGAGGCATGTCATCGTCGTCGGAGTCCTCCTCATCGTCGTCACCGCCGGGCATACCAGCGCCGCCGAGCTTGGAGAAGTCGATACCGCCGAAGTCACCTGTGTAGATTCGAGTTAGCATATTGGCCAAGGATCACTAGGAGAGAACACAGCCGCTAGATGACTCTTGGAGATATGACTCTTGGAGGTGTCCGCGTTGTCTCGGGTATGGTCGATGCCATATGTCCCTCCCCGTTCAGCTGGGAGTGTACGTACCCATGCCACCCATACCACCCATACCACCCATACCACCGTCCATACCACCCATGCCGCCCATACCTGGCATTCCTCCTGCAGGTTCGCAATATATTTAGTTTTGAAATGAGCAAGGATTGGGGGAGGGGTTTTTGGTTCGGGGGACATGCGACCAGTGGCGCAGACGGCGCAGAGTCAAATCACAAGCGGGTGGGGGGAAAGGGTTAAAGAACTAGTACTCACCCATACCGCCAAAGTTGCTAAAGTCGTCCTCAGCGGCCTCGTGCTGCTCGTCCTCATCAACCCACTTGTCGAAGTCGGTCTTGAGGAAGTGGACCTTCTTAGGCTCCTTGAGGAGACGGGGCCAGTGGGAAGCATCGAGCTCCTTCTTGCGAAGCTTCATCTCGACATCACGGGCAGTGTGGTGGATCTTGCTCGCAGCAGGGTCAATCTCGGCGTAGAACTCGAGCTCGACATGGTAGGTCTTCTTGAGGGTGTCGGAGTGGCCGGTGAAGACGAGACCAGTGGGCTTGAGGTCGAGCTTGAGGTTTTCAGTAGGGACGTCGGGAACGCTAATGGTGAGGTAGATGAAGTTGCTCTCGGGGTCGGTAGCAGAAGAGCGCTGGGCCCAGCGAACTGTAGGATTGGAATCCATTGTCAGCAACTTGCGTATGTACAATGCGACAGGAACCGCAACTCATGGTAGAGACATGCGATGCGATCTCGAGAGGGGTAGTCGAGGCCAGCCAGCCAGCCAGCCTCCAACATGCCCAAATCAGGATCACGGGGGATCGAAATCAGGTACTCACCCTCAGGTGTCACGGTATTGGAAGCCATTGTAATGATAGTTGTGTAAGTGTGAAAGGGTGTTGAGGTTGTGTTTGTGCGAAGGTGTTGTTGGGGAGGGGTAGCTAGCTAGCTCCTAGATGTAAAGCGCTTAGAGTGGTATTGGTAGTGGTAGTATTGAAAACGGCTATGTCACAACTAGAGTCGTCGTCAAAAGTAGAATGAATTGTAGTCGAGGACAAAAAGCTGGAAAGAGAGGATGCAGGAAGAGGTGGGTTGGCTGTGAGGCTGCAGCAATTTAGCAATCACCTGCCTTGTCGTCCCTTCGGTCTCCAATGGGTGACGGTGGAATTCGTAAGAAGCCTGAAGATTCCCGGGCGGGCGCGCGGGGCCTTGACGCAGGGCTGAGCTTCCACGCTCCATCACTTGCAGCTGTTGCTCCAACTGCTCCAACAGCTCCAGCTGTGCTCCTCCCTGGCCTCCAAGTGGAGAACTGACGATGGTCCCAAATAGGAGACGAAATCTTGGGAGCTTTCTAGAATCTAGAATCCCACAAGGCAAACAACAGATCCTTCTCACACCAACTGGAAGCGCCAACAGACGAGCAATCGAACGAGCATACCTACCTATGTATCCTGAGCCTTGTGTATCTGGTATGCAACTGCCTTCTAGGCCCTTGGCTATAGAGGTAGCCATGTGGTTGTGGTTCGCATATGGTGGGGCCGAGGTCAAAGCAACACAGCAACATCGACTACCCTGTGTTATCTACCAGTCGTACAAGATGTGGCTTTGATGGCAAGACATGGTGATTTCGTATCTGGATAACATCACAAAGGTAGACTTCCATTGTCCTGCAGTGTTTGAGGTTATTCCCACAAGCAAATTCAGACACCGCAGCATCATCGCGGGGCGGATAGCGGGCCAAGGAAGCGCTGCAGGCCACCTACCAGGCAATCCAGGGCAAGCTTGGCGGGCGGTAGGCCCCGAGTGGGACCTCCTGATCCCCCGCCTCCAGGGGCAGCTTCAAGCCACAGGTCCAGCAGAAAGAGCGGGCAGCCAGACCATGAGGCTCACGCGGCCTCACATGCCCGCTAGGCGCTGGCATCAACCCCCCCGGCCGTTGTCCACGACGTCAGGACGTAACCTGCAGTTCCAGGCACAACACGCCTCTATCACCAACTCCAAGTCCTCATCACCATACGGCACCTTCGCCGTGTGCCACCATCAGCAACCTAGAAACCATCATCCATGTTATCGACTCTTTGAGTAGGGGATCATTCAATTGTACCTACACCACATCATCGGGGAAGCACGAGAAACAGCTAATTCGGCTTCTACTCCGACAGCCGCCAAGATGCAAACACTCAGGTCCTTCTTCGCGCCGCCCGATCCCCAGGCACAGGTTAGCACCACCTTGACGATACGAAGGTGTCCTGAAGAAAGGACGTCAATCACTGATACCCCGTGTTTGCTATCCAGATGCGCAAATGTAACACCCTACTCCGCTCCAACATGCGCAAGATCGATCGCGACATCGCCCAGGTCAAGCAAGTAGAGACCAAGACCAAGAACCTTATCCTGGCCGCCGACCGACGAGCACAGAAGAACCCCGCCCAACGTAAACAGGCCGAGAAGGAAGTGCGCGACTTCGCCCGCGAGCTGATCCGCGCCCGCAAGACGACCGCTCGCCTGATCACGAGCAAGGCCCAGCTCAACAGCGTGCAAATGCAGGTCAACGAGGCCTTCGCCCTGCGCAAGATCGAGGGCAGCATCCGCGCCAGCGTCAAGATCATGAAGGACGTCAACACGCTCGTGCGCCTACCGGAGCTGGCCGGCACCATGCAGGAGCTCAGCGTCGAGCTGATGAAAGCCGGCATTATCGAAGAGATGGTGGGCGAGCAGCTGCCCATTGACGTGGACCTGGAAGACGAAGAGTACGAAGCCGAGGGCGAGGTCGACAAGGTGCTGGGCGAGATATTGAAGGATCGCATGGAGAAGACGGGCGGCTTGCCTAGTGTGCCAGAGCCCAGCCAGAAACTGCCACAGCAACCCCAGCACGCCGAGGAGGAGCCCGAGGAAGAGGATACCGAAGCTATGATGGACCAGATGCGGAACCGACTGGAAGCTCTCAGGAGTTAGAAGAGAGGAGATGGCGAGCCAAGTATGGTGTGCACATAATGCATGATGAATACTAGGGTGCACACGTGGCTGCACTCGGGTTTTGGCTTACACTGGGTTACGGCGGCGTTGGGGCGTTTCGGTCATGTCATTCATCATGTCCTCATCGGTTGGGGGTACAACAACGTGCTAGTTTATCGGGCGCTGGTTGTCTATGTTTGGTAGATGCGTTTTGTTCTCAAAGATGGAATCTGAGCATCAGGTACATAACAACCGTGCGTCCCTCGCCACCGACGGCCTTGATGCTATCATGTTGGTTGCCGGCGAGGGGGTAACCACTCGCTTACAGAAACCTCGGATCCCGTTGCCAGCTTGGAATCACAAGTGGTTCAATGTGGCATGCATTTCAATAAGGTCCGCTGGCTCAATGGCAGAGCGTCTGACTACGAATCAGGAGGTTCCAGGTTCGACCCCTGGGTGGATCGATTCTTTTTTTCCTTTTACCCCTTTCAACACCGCGAAGTCGTACATTTCTTTTGCATTGTTCCCATTTCCTTTTTGTCTTCTTTGTATTCGGCTTCGCGTTGGCAACAGGTGTGCCTCACGGCTGCTATGTAGCTGACAAGGTCATGGACGGTGGCATATAAAGAGGACTTCCGTTGGCATCGGGCTGGCGCTTAACATGACTCGGTGCATACACCCTTTCACAAACGGCGTCTATATCCCAAAAGGACGGAGCTTGGCATTAATCGACCTTGTCTGCCTGATGGGCTCTTCCTTACGGTCCGGTATTTTACCACCAAAGGCGTCGTTCAGTCAGTCGCCGGTTTACCAATCCGCATGGTCACATCAAAGTCCCTCCGTTTTGCTTCCAGCACCCTCAAAGCCATGTTCCTCATCAAGACGGAGGGAGGAATTGGTTCTCTCGACTCTCACGAGACCTCTTGTCGCCAACTGTATTCGATCTTGCAACAGGGAAGTCTAACCGCCCTCGGAAGCCAGGTACCTACTAGCGCACACAAAGACCACATAAAAGTTTCCGGAGGGTTTGATCTGAGTCCATGTCTTTCCAACTTGATCCACGTTGATTACTGACAGCACCCCTATGGAAGCCCTGGGTCAAGGAAATGAGCCCTTAAAAGTTACAGCCTCTCTACGCTAGATGGGACAGCATACATACATGTACTCCACGTTAAATCAAATCCTCAAACCCCCCTCAGCCATTTTTCTGTTGTCTTTTTCCCTACTTGACTAGGAAACTTCCACTGCCGGCGCCACACGACAGTCAGTCAGCCCGTCCCCTTTTCGATTTACAGTGCATCAATTTGTCTCGCGGGACCTGGCACCGGACGGGTTTGACCGTTGAGACCTGAGACCGCGTGTTACACTGTCGAGCTTTTTTATGTTTTTTGTTTAGGTTGTTTTGGAAAGCTGTCCCTGGTGTCTCTCGTATTTTCAGACATTGATCGTGATGGGTTGGTTGGTTGGTTGTACGTATGACTTGATTCAGATGAGTTGGAGGACTGGAGCTTACCTTACCTATCTGTCTTCGACTCTGGGTGCCTGTTTGTGTGATCTTGCTGTGCTTGCTATTGGGAAGCCGGGTTGTCAAAGCTTATGGGTAGGTAGATATGAGGGAAACACTCAGAGGCTTCATTCATGTCGTGTGTGTGCGCAATGCATCTCGGTCGAAAGGGGCAGAAGATTCTGAGAAGGAAGCCGAAAGGGACATCCGGCTTCGGCTTTGGCATCATCAAGAGCTGGCCCTCGTGGGATGGAAATCATCAAGAAAAGAATTTTCCGGAGTGGAGCGAGGACGAATGATGATCATGAGCTATTATTATTGGGACATAGGTGCTCACAGTTGTTCTGTGTTGCATATGACACCAAGGGGAAGTCACCAAAGCAAGCCTTTGAAAGAGAACACATTCACATGGCCATTTAATCCTGAGGGCCAGTTGCCATGTGCCCGCTGTTCTCAGAGGTCTTAGATGACCACGATTGTCGATCAGACCCCTATATCGAGCTGGAGTTTGTTACACAATCGTTGAGTGACACTCTGGGATTTCCATGAGAGAAGCAGGAGGTTTGAGCTGTCAATGACGTACTGACTGGGACATAGCTAGACCCTTTGAGAGCTTTTCTTTTGGTTTGCTCTCGGGAGAAGCCGAGGGGCATGTCTTGAGTAGTCATGAGTAAGGATCAGATGGTATAGCATCATTGTGGTTATATGAGCCTTCTGGTATGTCTATAAGCCAGGTTCTCAAAGTTCATTACTTGTGGCGTGATAGAAGACAACAAGTAGAGTGACTCAAAACGGGCAGAGGGTCTAACGGTTGATACCCCTTTGTTGCTGGTACCTGTAGATCGTTTGAAGTTCGAGTTACCTTTCTAGAAGGTCCCTTTCGATGCTGTTGCCTCCAGGTCCCGTCTGAACCGACACTATCAGATCCCCAAACGGTGAGAACGAAGGTGCCCTAACCTTCATTCAACACCACCGTTTTCCCCTTACCTAGAAGTAAGGAGACATACATGTGAGCCTTGGTTTCAGGGTATGCAAGTCATTCCTTCCTACCGCTCACATGAACTTCAAAGAAGAAGAAAACATCTTGTTTCAGATCTCATGTTGCCGTGCAAGAGAGAAAACCAAGCGGGTCACTTCTCCGTAACAATCAGGCATTGGAGCAAGAGGTACGTAGATGTACAAATGCCTGAATGGAACTTCTACACGCGCGAATGGGTCAGTTCTGATACAAATCACGGTAGAGGTAAGCATGTAGTACCGACCGAGTGTTTTGTGGAGGTTAGGCATTCATGCGTTTGCACTAGACGGACATGGAGAGGACTGCGAAACGGTGACTAGGCTGACACACCGGTGGCCCAAAAGAATATTTTTTTCTGTGCCGTTCAATGACAACCTTTTAATTAGAGACATTGGATTCCAAGGTTCTAGAGGCATAATGTTGGCCCCAAGTACCTACACACAGAAAGTGGTTGCTTGCAGGATCAATC